GACAAGTAAAACGAAAATTTTTTTTCGTCAAAGTATCATTAAGATCTGAGTAGCGCAGATGAATCCGGCAGCCGACTTCTTTATTTTTTTTTCTTTTTTTTTTTTGCAGCTCCCAACGTTTTCAATTTCGAGATGAAATATCTGTAAAATCGTTCGTCTTTCCATTAACTGTATGCTTTTTGAAAGTGAGTTGTCCAAAAACTCGTAAAAACAAAGGGACCGGATTCTCTAAAACCGTTTTCGCCATGAACGATATTATTCCTTCCATCATTGTGATCTTTTTGAAGAGTCGATCGAACAATGTCAACTCGTTGGAAACCGCGAAAGTTGAAAATAATTTCGATTATAGCTGCTGATGAATTGGCAAGAAGAGAGAGAAAGGGAGACGAGAGAGAGAATGGAGATGAACGAAGTTTAAGCTTCATTCAAGCTGCTCAGTGAATTCGAAATTGACCCATTATACTGTTACTTCGTTGTGCAAAAGATCACGTCTGTCGTCGAATTGGAATCAACGTGATTCGATTCTCCAAGAAGCGCTGATCCGCGAAAACTCGGACTGTTACGCCGGGCGACTCTCTGTCTGGCCCAGGTCACACACCGCGGGCCAGACGGACACCAGATGTCCGCTCTTCCGTATGGCGTACCCTCAATAGCCTTAAGCACCCGTCATAAACCCGAGTCACTGGCCTGCTAAGGTCCTTCAGACCCAATAAATGTCTTTTCTAAATCAGTTTCCAAAGACTATTGTTTACTACGGCTTGACACGGGAAAGTTAGTTTTTCTCACGTACGATGCTTCCTACTAGCATCTTTCTATCGAGGGCGGTTAAGACCTTTCCTAGTCCACCAACCTTCGTTTGTCCAATCCGAGGCAATGTATACTGCCCTCACTTCCTGACCTAAAATGGCATGAACAAATCCGATGGTCCCGTGCGCTAGACACACCCATCACTAGCTTTCCTCCGACACAGCATCGTCACTCAACTTCGCTTCTTCTACATCGTTGGAAAAGTCAACTACTAAGTCTAAAAAGCAAACGCCTAACATGGCAGTCTAAGCATAACGCGAGAGTCGGTTCTCGGTATTGTTGAGCATACATCTCCTCTACTAAATATATTATAGTGCTAGGTTCACTAATACACTAAATCCAATTATAAGAGCCCTGCTCTAACGTACATATCTATCTTATCTTCGTGCGTGTGAAGTGATTATCTATTTATCTATGCTCATCAGCGTAATCTAAGTGTTGGAAATATATAATTTATAATTCTGTGAATCACAGTGTTATACAAACTCAATCACCCCTATTATCTCAACGGAAATCAGGGGATCGATCAAGTCGTGGTGTCGATTGTTATAATCGTAACGAGAATTTATGACTCCCGTTGATGTCTCTCCTAGCGACTACGTCTCCCCGCGATTGGTCGAACAAACACGGATGCTTTGAAAAAAATTCACGTTACACAATATTCCTCCGCCGTTAAATTACAGGCTATCCTAACGATCATGCGAGATAAAATCAAGCTTCTTTCAATACGTGCCAGCATTCTTATGTCGATTAAATTCAATTTTTAAACTACAAAATTAAGAAACGAACAGTCGTTGTAGATTTCTTCAGTGGCGCAGTCAAATTAGAAAAAAAAAACAGACTCACGAAACTTGAAAACAACATCGTTGTTAATGAAGGTTTTGACGCCATTCGCGAAAAATTTCCAACGCGACCGGTGCCAGAAAGCTGGGTGAATACGAAGGTGGAGAGATAAAGAAAGAACGCGGCAACCTTGGAAGCGCAATTAAATTAAACGACATTAGGTCGGGCAGGTTCTTACATTGTAATCGTCCTTTTAATTGCGCTCGTAATCAACCAACGGTAATTGATTTGCGCGCGTATATATATATTTAAACGAAATAACCGATTCAGAATGGAAAACGAAAGAGCGCTATTATTTAAATTTGCGATCGGAACAAAAACAGCTAGTTAATTGAGCGGACGACGTCGCGGAACTGTTTTTTACATGGGCTAGTGAAATTACATTGTTTTTCCAATCAACCGTTCGTTGGTCCCGGTATAAATTCTAGCGGAGCGTTTGTTTTTGTGCGACAAAAGCGCGTCGTTTAATTATCAACCACGTGGAAATTTCTGCAAGTATAATTAAAAACACAACCGAAGTTACGATGAAGCGTTCGTCATTTGCGAATTCGAAACGAATTTGGAATTTTACCGGGGCTAGAATATACCAGGATCCCGCGTCCAAATATTTTTCATCGATCGACGGATCGATTGTATATCGCGAGCATCGCGAGTTAACGCGAAATTCGACGCGGACCTTTCCCTCCCGAGAAGGTTCGATGCCGTAAAATTTTACGCTTGCGAAGTTACGAACGAGTTCGACGGTCGTTTCAACGCGGTAATTAACCGAATGCAATTAATTCTTGTTCACATCATTTGCAACGCGCGTGAGGGGAATAAAGGAAATGGAACGAAAAAAATTAACGACCAGCTTTCTGTTTCTTTCTTGCTCTCCTCTCTGTCGTCCTCTCGTACTTAAAATATACATTTGCCTAAAATAGAGCTATACAGTAGCTTTACATTGAAAAATAACTATGCTTATACATTGTCTACGAGGAAATATTGCATTTTCGTGCAGTTTCTTTCCTGTTTAGTTGCGCGTATCCTTAATCATGATACAACGGCGTCATCCTTTTTGGCATGATACTTTTCACAAAAATATTAAATCTCTCTCTATTTCTCTTTTGTGTTTAGGAAACATCACGACAACTGGCGATTACTCCTTGATATACGATTGAATTTCATTTTTCTTCAGCGTGATTCATAACCGTGCTTGCGCAACCTTTCGTCTTGCTCTTGTTTTCTCCTTCGAAGCGGCATAACGACTTTGATTACATATCAATTTTAAGATAGCTGGCTACTGATCTTGATCGATTAAAGAAATTTCGAGAGATATACGAAATCAATAAACCGCACGTTAATTCAAGATGCTTTACCGATGGTATGTCGCTGGTATACACCTTTTCAAATGAATTTCTCTGATGATAAAGCTGGGATTTCGCGTGCAGCGTACATCGACAAACGATATTGCCACCTCCTCGAAACGCCATCCTTCGATCGATTCCCGACAATTTCTCAAATTTCTGCCCTTAAACTGGAAAGGTGCCAGTGCCTTCGACGCAAAGGAAATTTCTGAGTAATAGCGACGCAAATTTTTAATTGGTCGAAACACAATGATCTGTTATACATAATAGCGCGTACTATTTCAAGCACAGGTCACCAATCATTGATGCGAAACACTCCCGTGGCATGTGCTTCTTTACTACACTGCGAAATTTTATGCAAATTCATATTCTTGTGAACATAAACAGAAGAAATGGATTCTAAATAGTGAACTGTTTCATTTACTGGATATTATAACGAGTATCGTACTTTGAACATTTTGTATATATTTGCATTTACGTACGTTCTGTACATTTTTGCTTTGTTATATTTGGCATAAATGCATAAATATCCGCAGTCTACTTATTATAATATACGTTGCATCAAGGTGACCAAAAAATTATATCAAGTAATTATAAATGTTCTAAGCAAAGAGACGTGTATACGAAGCTCATACACGGCGCTCGATACACAAATAAATTTACTAAATTGCCAACGGTTCTTATTACTCTCTCGTTATTTCTGGTCGTCGTGATCGTCGTCGATAGTAATTCAGATTTTATAAAAAGTTAGTTGAATCGACAATGATTCGTTTCGTAGCGATTAGTCCCGAGAGTGAAGTCGCGACGAAACCAACAAAGTCCGACCGAAATCATATCAAAAGAAGAATTATCAAAAAGATGTAATTCGAATCAGGTCCTTCCGCTAGATATTTCTGTGCCGAAAGCGGCACCGTTTCAGATATATCGCACAAATCTCTAAAACATTTTATAATTTCTTCTGTGTATATATCTAAATATAGTATATGTATACCTTTATATATATGTATACTTATCTATATGTCACGAGCGCAGGATGAGTAGAATATAGTCGGACGATATTTAAATTGCCAAATGAAATACTGAGAATGTCATGCATTAACACTTTCGTAGATCATTATGAGATCTAGAGTATTTATTTAGGTCAAATTGTTGAATTGTGACTACCCCCACCTAACCCCAATACTCCAATTTCTTTTTAATAATAGAGTAAGCTATTTGTCCTCGATCCATTGATAAAATATACCTCTTTGTTGACAAATGTTATGGCAAATAGAATTACCTGAATTCATTTAGCATTTTTCTATTTTCCAAACAAATCATCATATCGTGAATTGGGCTACCAACATACTCTTCGAATTCCATTAAACTCAATTAAATTTCGCATGTCCTAATGCAATTTTTTGCATTTACTATTCAATGTTTCAACATTCTCTAACATTTAAGTATTAAATCCCAGTGAGACACAATTTCATCATTCTGCACACGCGTCCATAATAAATAAATATATATGTATATGTGTTCTCTAAATTCAGTAATGAATATGTATATATTTATATATTTATATAATATATGTATATATATCAGAACTTTGGTTTTGTCTTCGGTGAACCAGTCGAATCAAACATATCCGAAAGATACTCGATCTTACGGAGCACATTTTTTTTAAAGATAATTTCCAAATGTACCCCAAAGCCAGGTCATCCTCGGACAGCCCCTTTGTTGCAATTTCAACAAGACAATTAACAGTCCTTTAAACGAGTCTTTTCGATTCGCCGTAATAAATCCTTTTTAATCGACGATTATTCCGTTGCGCCCAACCCTGTATAATATATTGAGATGCCCCCATGTTGGGAACTCAGATTCGTGATAAAGGAGAAACACCGCCGTTCCGTTGCACTTGTTCAGCAAAATGTCGGTAGAAAGTTTATAGTAGTCGTTAGTACGTAAAGATGTCTTAAAAATGTGATAAAAAAGTTTTCGCGTCAACGGTACACTAATTTGATTATATCGATCTGTTACTCTCCGGGACTTTGTATTTAAATTATCGACGTGCTCGGTTTCTACTTTACCGATTGAGACAGAAATTGTGCGCAAGATATACATACATACATATTTATTCGTCGTTGCAAAGTAGAGATTCTTATCTCGGTATTTTTCGACAGTGTTTCTATCAAACAAATTCTGTTGTGCATGGTGTTTCATGGTAGATAATAGAAAATTGTAATATAGTAAAGTATGTTAGTCTACCATAGAAAGGAAAGATTTCTCGATCTCGTGATCAATATTGCTTTGTTGCTTCGTGGCGCAACGGAATGGAAATCGTATATAACAAATGATAAACTTTGAAATTTTAAATCATCTATCAACAGCAATTTACAATTAAGTATGCTTTTCATACGAAGAGTTACATTTACATTCAGAGGTTATTTCTACGTGTTACGTATCTTTGATAGCGATTTCCCGTGTCGCTGAAATCTCCTATAGTTTTCCCACATGATAACAACTAATTATTTGTGCGAGCTTTTATCGTGGCATACAATGTGGACCAGCCTCAAGTTCTTCATCGTAAACAGATTGTCATAAATTTCAATGAGGTCTGACTCGTTGGTATTACCCTGGGACGCTAATTTCAGGAGCGATGGGATTATAGACCTGGACTTCTCGATCCTACAAATCATGTTTTTATTATTTTTTAAAATAGTACGTGCCAATTTAAGACTGTATTATACAGAATGATTTGAACACCACCATGAAATTGAACTGCTCGTGATAATAATAATTTCAATTAACTAAACGATGATCTCTGAAACATTCTGTATACGGTCAACGAACATAGTAATAATTCGTCATAACAGATCATAAGTACAACTTACTTGTGATCAAAATTCCATGTAGAGAATAAAACAAGTTCTTCCTTCGATCTATAAGGATTGATCTTGTGCTTATCCGGGTAAGAACATTTATCCTCGTTCCACATACCGTAACACCTAAATTCGCCCGTGTGATCGCACAACGCGATACACGCTTTCTTCGCTTTCCTTCTAATCTTGTAAGGACAACTCTCCTCTGCCTCTTCCTCTTCAGTCTTTGTGTCCGAGCTTCTTTCGTTCCTCTTTTTTACACCATCGGTATCATCGAACTGTTCCATCGCTCCAAACAATCTGAAGTACGTACTATCGTCCAACCATTTCAATCTACAGGGACAATGATCGTAACAGGATGACGAATCAAGCTCGTCTGCACCCTCCAACGCTTCGGACTTTGCTCGACTCCTATCGAAATAGTAGCCGAAATAGTGGTCCTCTTTCAGTTGCATCTTAAAGAACGCTATGGCGTACAACAGTTGCTTTCTGGCTCGGGGATCCTTCGTAAATGCGTCCGATGATTTGATCTGATCGATCGTTTTATAGAGATAGCCTCGTATTCTATCTTGACATCTACGATGCAAGTACGCTTCCTGTAAAACCATTAATTTCGTTAGTCGATGCATTAATTCAATCGAACGTAATCGAATAACATGGCGCGCGTTCCGTTAGATGGAAAAGCTTATTTAGTTGTGAGAGGAACTCCGGTGAACTAAATGACAACCGCCGCCGTGGACAATCAAAATGGATCAGTATACATTGATATTGCCATATTGTGATTATAATTGTTCTGTAATCAAAGCAGGGTAAATCTATTGTTTTCGATAAATCGCCAACAATGGTTCGTTATTGCGTATCATAACGTACAATGGAAGCCCAATTATTTGTTGAAGTCCACGACCGAAAGTAATTTCAACCGATCCAGTTCGCGATCTACTGTCTTCGTAAAATAATCATGAAACATAATTTGTCGGTGTTAAAACAAATGAATAACCAACGAAGATCATTTCGATAATCTACATATCGCATACGTATAATAATATAATTGTTCGGGATTTTGAGTGGCTGTCCGTTTATGGCTCGGACAGCACCTCTCCCTTCTTTGGGAAATACCGAATTACCTGACCTCTCCGAGCTGTAAACCTGATGACATAGAAGTTAGGGAAACCCCAGGCAATACCAGGTCATATGCACACCCGAGAGTACAGGTAAACCAGGGAAAACCCCCGGCCGGGAAAGCACGATGGACGGAGAGGTTATCAACAACATACTAGGATAGTCATAAACAGAGAGTCGTACCATGCGGGTAAAGTACTTCAGTCTCAAGAAGATCTTACAACTGTCGTGTTCAGAACATCAAACTTTGCTCGTATACAACAAGTGCAAGTAAAGTGCCAAATTGCACTAACACTCAATATATTAAACCTCCTCCACCTGAGCGTTAATTCATTCAAGTTTCGCGATATCGACCGATCAGTTGGACCTGACCGGTCGCTCTTTAGTTGATAATTCGCAACATATTGAACCTCTGAGTCATCAGGTTTACAGCTCGGGGAGGCAGGCAATTCAGAATTTCTCAAAGAAGGGAGAGGTGCTGTCCGAGCCATCAACGGACGGCCATTCAAAATCCCAAACAATAATAACTTTGTATATGACATTGCACATCAATTGGAAGAAAAGAGGTGTAACAAGGACGAAGGCATGTTTCATCAGTAAAGCTGTCGAGGAAATCCATACCGTAGATATAGGAGATATTCGATCCTAATAGTATAGACATATCGACATGGCCGAGGATTAGGTGTGGGATTTGCGAGGAATAGGATTCCGTAAAATCGACATCGTGTATTGTAGTCAGCGCAAATTTATTATTTTTTTATCTAGCGCACGTATCCTCTACGAAAGAATTGCGCAATTCAACAGATGAGCTGTAAAAGTGAAATTTTCGCGCGAACATCGCACAACGATAGATACCCAATTAATTAATTATTCATGTAATCGTTAAATAAAGAGTTGCAAGATTTCGACGCGAAACTCTGTGCATGATAAATAACAATCTGTCGCAATGCAAGTGCCGTAACGTTAATTAACTCGCACATCGAAGGACAAACTCCCTCTCATTCTATTATATTAGACTATGTCGACCTAGGGCGATTTGTTATAGGTTCGAGGCTGACTTATCTTTGATCGCGTCCTGAATGGTATCTACGGAAAAAAGTTTCTCTAAGGATATGCATGGTAGGATAGTTCGTATTCGTATTGATTCTTTTTACCTTCTCATCTACCATCTGTTACCCTGACACATAAATTTCAAGGACAACTTTTAAATGAAAAAGATACAATTTATATCTTTCAAAATATTTCAGTACATAAACTGATTGAAAAGATCAGAAATGTTTCCACCGCCAAACAAAACAGTTAGAGTATAGATAAATTCTTAAATATCGTGCCTTATATAGAGAACCCGATTTTTCTTTGTGAATATTTATAGCGTGCTAAGAAGAGACACGCCATAAAAGAGAAAGTAGACCCTTCGAAAGGGAGCGAAGCGTAAAAATATTTTTGCAGAAAAGAAAACTTACTTTACTCGTACAGTTAGTCTCCAATCCATGAAACCACTCCGGATGTTCGTCCCTGCTACTGAACGCTGTTTTCGAATCGTCCTTGTTCAGTGCGTTATATAGGACGGCTACTTTCGCTTTAAAGTTTTCCGTGAGGAACTCAGACGCTTTCTCGCCGGCAATTAGAAAGTCGATGTTAACACGTCTTAAGATGTCATACAGAAGATCCGCATCTGTAAGCAGAGGATGCATTTTTAAACTTCGTTTATCGTTTCTTATTCAACTTGCCCTTCTATTGTCAAGATATAAACAAGTGTAGGAAGGAAATTAACGGCACTAACCGGTTAACACTTTTTCGCCCGGCTTCTGAAGGATCAACGTCGTCTGAGGTTTCAACGTGGAAAAATATTCTTCCTCGTCAATCAACGAACCATCAAGTAGGTAGATGTTAATTTCGTCAGGATCGTTCGTTATCTAAAACACGAGGGATTCATCGATGCTAGTTCATTTTCTGTTTCATTACATCGAGTTACGTTGTGGAGGTATAAATTCATTTGTATTTCCCAATAGAGTGGTATCGTACGTTTGAAATACCGTGACATGTTACGTTCTCGAAAGTTTCTCTGATCTATCGTATAATGTTTAATCAAAGCGTAAAGTACATGAAAATGAAAACATATAAAAACTGTTAGGAAACTTTAACTTTGTTAAATCGTCAAGTATCTCTCAAACAGAAAGGATGATTCTTCGTTGTAATTTTAAACAATTATTTTAGAATGATATTTACACAGTAATTGGATCACGTTATTGTCCTTCATTAAATAAAACACATCAATAATTACTAGTATGTTTTCCAACGCTACGAATGATAATATTGCTTATTTTTGTATTCAATGAATCATGTCTCCCATCGTAACCGTTACATTCGTCGACAGGCAACAGGCAAAGCTGTAGTAACGCATTCGAGCGAACACTGATCCATCGATACTGAGGAAACATAGTCACGGACAGCTAACCTTTAACCGCATAACATTGCCCCCCATTAGTTCTTTTTACGCAAGAGAAGAGGCGTAAGGCTGTCCCAATTACTACGAATGAAGCGGCACCGCACCATGAACGCGTCCCGTTTCACGGTGGCGCGCATCGCCGAAATCAATTCTTTCGGAATCACACTGTTGCACTAGTTACAACTGTTAAAATTTGTTGGCCGGAAGCTGGCAAACAGCAAATAGTCGCATCCGCGTGCGCGTCACGGCAAAAAAATCTTGGTTCCGATGAAAGAAATGACCATCGGTTCTCAACTATCGGTCCAGCAGACGGTCGACCTTGACATTGACGGGCTGCTCCTTGCCCGTGGCCGGGCTGGTTCGATAGAGCTACACGCTGCAGACGAATGTGCTTCGGCCCCAAGGTCGTCCCACAATTGGATTAACCTATACACGACTCGCTGGCAAGCGACACGTGCCATGTAAATACTAATTCTCTCCGCCCCATATCTTCGCGACTAATTATTCGCACGTGCCTGCCCACTTCCGTAACGCCCTATCTGAAATCCAGTCTTCTTTTTAAAGGAAGTGGAATAACTAGGTTGACTGTTGTGTAACACCGTTACGTACACATTTTATATCGTATATTAAAGTATTTGATCCATCGAAGAAGTTACACTATCACAGGCTTCTAGTGTGCCCGTTACGATTCTCTACATGGATTCTCCATGCTTGAAAGCGGGGATCAGATTTCACATAACTTAATCGCGTTGATGAATTGTACCAGAATCGCGTTTTACGTTTTTTAGTTATCACGTTTTACGTTTATTTTACGATATTAACATTTCGTTTATTTTTAGTTATACGGTGTCAAGGAAATATTTAAATAATTCATATAACGAATTGAATGAAAAAGCGCCGATAAATATGGAGATTTCATATATGACACGTGCTGCGCTGTTTTTCAGTAATTTCACAGGCGGTACAAGGTTGGCCTGTTTTTGGCGCACTTGTAACGAAATACCGATCGCATGAGACAGAATAGTCGGGTGTTACAATTTTCCAGGGGCGTATTATGGATCAGCTGCGAGGCTTTTATGACCCAATTTCAACCAAAAACTTTTGTCATGTCATGTGAAAACGATATGGAATCGCGGAAAGGTTTCCATACAACGCGACGTTCCGTTCTGCCCGTCTCCCTTACTCCCTTTTATTCATTATCATCTCTCTCTCTTTTTCTTTCTCTCTCTCTCTCTCTCTTTTTCTCCTCGTTTGAATCGTATCATCGGTCGATTAAATAAACGCCGCGAGCGTTAATCACATAGATACTCACGTTCAGTTTTGCGCACGCTTTCCGCTTCAGCTCATGAAGGCTCCTGCAGGCAACACCGATTTTTCGCACGCGGTTTACATCGGTGACCTTGTAGCCTTTGAACTGGAAAACAATCGGTAAAACGCGATAAAAAATTTTTTTTATTTCCTAGCACTTTCGTGCCGAGGTTAAAAACAAATCCATAAAATCTTAGAAAACCATATGTACGAGTATTAGCGACAAGTATTTAAATTCGGTTTCATTCGTTTAACAAAGCTATTCATTCGACTAGATTAATTTAAATTCTCAAACGACTCCTTCAGGTTGAAATACAAATTTGGGAAATCAGCTGATTTTCAACAAATGTATTTCCTACTGTTTCTAGTTGACGAAAGGAAGTTAGCGTCTGGATTAATCGAGCAGAGATTAAACCGCGTCTTTTGCGGAATCATGCAGGAAAATATGCAAATGAGCTGAAGCTTAATCTCTTAATCGGGGATAACGCCTAGATAACGGAGGATAATGAACGAGATCGAGTATTGTGATCACCGGATGTGCAATTGGGCCGATCTCGTTCAGGGTCATGGCTGCGGAAGCGCGCGTGCCACAGTTTCTTCCAGTGACCTACATTGGTGACCTCTAATCGCGGTCACTCGGTAATGCAAATAGAATCGAAAGTCGGAAGTTCTACCGGCTGGACGCACCTTGCTACCGCCCGCCCACGCATAACTTATCTATCTGTATACGAAAACACGGAAACGTTCGACTGATTCACTATTTCCTGCTAATGTGCTCTTTATATACAATCTTCTGGTTACGAACAAGTGTTCGAGCCGTGTCAGTACAAAAAGGGAATTTCATGGATTAACGCGATCAATCAACTTAATTTATATAGCTGCATGCTTGTATTTTGATAATTCCTTGACGCGATTGATTAATATTTTCATATGACGTATATATTTAATACGTTTGATAAATAAAATACACACAAATTATTTTCATTTGCCTTAAAGAAGGACAACGTTAAACAACTGGAAACATCAATACTCTTCTATTACAAAAATTGCCTTCATTTATTATTCCAATAAACGATATCGCTACGTGTAAACGCGATACAATATCACGAACAAATTGTTGAAAAATAAAGAAAGCACGTTCCAATGACTAACGCTGGATAAGCCGTTCATGCGTTACAAGCAGGGAAGAAGAAAAGAACAGAGAACACAGAGATATCACCAGCGGTGAACAAAGCTCATGCATACTTCGTTCGGGACGCGCGGATCGGGTGCGATTCTTTGTTTACCTCGTTCTTAATCGGTGTCTCGGTGAGCCGTCGAAAACAGTTGGCGATCAGTGACATGATCGACGTACTCTGTGCCGACCGTAATCACAGAAGGCGTGGGGAAAGAAGATCGTGTGCAAGAAGAAAACGTACGACGCGCGAAACAGCTGGTATACTTCGAATTCCGACCTCTTCTTTCTTCGACCGTGACAGTGGTACGTTTATCGGTCAGCGGACGGAAGGGGAATCAACGGATGCCGGGAGTTGAATAAGCCTGGAGAAGAGTGGGGAGAGAAGAAACGAGGAATAGTGCTTAGCGTTGGAATGTGGAGTCAGCGTATAGGAAGTATTTATACGCCGGACAGAGAAAGAAGAAAGAAAGACAGACAAGGAGGATATTAACAAAGCCGTCCCGAGGAACTTGTTTAATCGCCGCTTTCGCAGCGACAACGCACGAATACTCGCTAGTAACAACGAAGAAGAAGGACGAGAAAATATATGTGGAGCGAAAAGGAATGGTACCTATCGTCGATGGATTACGGGGAAGGAATGGCGCGACAACGCGACGCTCTTCGCTCGGGCCTGAAATGAGAGAATGCACCGGGAAATGCGCCTGCGAACTGTCAGCTGCATCAGGCAATCGTGCTTCGCTCTCCCGCGTAGATGTCGCCACTAGACAAAACTATAGCTATCCTGTCCACTGATATGTATGTTGGATACGTACATACTTACTCTTCTTGAACCTCGCAGCACTCAACAATTTGGATCACTAATGGATAAGAGGCGACTCGTGGTTGAAGGGGAGTACACGAGAAAGAAGTTCACCAGTCGAACGTTAGTGTCGCCACATACTAAAGTCTCAATATGGCTGCGACGAAGTTACTTCACGCGTTTCACGGGATATCGTGTCGATAGTATGTACGACGTATTTACATATCAGTGGTCCTACCTCTTTGGTTCGAGAGAACAGTGTGCATTCAGACAACCTCTGCGTTCTCTATAATGCTTTCTTCTTCTCTTTTGACAATGTAGATGATCAGATCAATAGTCTTTTTTTCGCATTGTGATTAATTGAACATTCATTCACATATGTACAGTGACGAGCAAAAGTGTAAACACACTCCGCTGATTTTATGTAAAAGGCGATACTACGACTAATTTTTCAAGTGATTGGTAAATATTAGGTAACAGTAACTACAAGCTACGTCTGATTAACAAAATGTAATAGTTCATTTCCATTTATAATGTACAGAACATTTTACAAAAATGGACATCTCAAACCATGTTTACAATGTTGCACTTTAATTATACTCGTCGAATTAAGGTTTCAACCTAGTATTTCGTCTACTTCCCCTTACTTTTTTTTAATGCTTTTAATCTACGAGGCATACTGTCAATTAAATTTTTAATTATTTGTGGTTCAATATTGCACCATACCTGTCGTATTCTTTCCCATAAATCATGAACACCGGAAGGTGGATTATTATATTTTGCCAGCCTTCTTTTCAAAATGGACCACAAATTTTTGATCGGATTCATATCCGGACTTTGCGCTGGCAACTTCATCACAAAAAAATTTTGACTTTCTAGCCAGGTTTTAACTATGTCTGCAGTATGCTTAGGATCGCTGTCTTGTTAAAATACTACTTCACATTCATTATATCCAATAGAATTAACTACAGAAGGTAAATTACTTTGTAGAATGGTCAAATAATGCTCTTTTCGCATTATACCTTCGATTCGGACTAAGGGACCAACACCTCTGTGAGTAAAGCAACCCCAACACATAATTGAGCCAAACTTCATAGTTTGTTTTATACCACCTGGTTGATCATTATTCTCGAATGAAATCCAATACCAGGACCTTCTGTCAGATTCGAAGCTGTTAATTTTTGTTTCATCAATCCACATAACTCTTTTCCAATCTTCGGTCGTCCATTCTTCGTAGGTGTCCATAAATTGTTTTCGTAATTTAATATTTTTGTTTGAAAGAGCTGGTTTACTTTTTTTTTCCTTCGCTCGTAAACCAATTCTCTTTAAAGAGCGACGAATGGTCCATTCGCTAGCACTTATTTCGATTTCCTGAGCAGCAATTTTTGGTGTTTTGTAACTATCCGACCGAATACAGTGTGCAATTTCACGTGCTGCTCTATCCGAAATAAGTCGCGGTCTACCGTTTTGTGAAGAAATTGGTGTACTCACATACTTTTTTCTTATTCTTGCAACTATGACTGACACCACATTTCTCTGCAATTTACCGCAACGACAAACCTTTATCACACAAACAAATAATACTGTTCTTTTTATCTTCGCTAAGTGGCTTCATCTAGGATTAAGCATATCAAACTGAAAAATAATCTAACAATGGTGTGGAACAGTTGACTGCGAAACAGTGGACAATCAGTGCTTATTGACAGTTTCGTTTCCCTGACATTTACATGCTATCATAAACGTTTCTGACGAAACGTGTAAAACTGTAAACATTGTATCAAAACACAATTATTATAAAATATCATGTACATAATTAATGTTAATGAAAATGAACTATTACATTTTGTTAATCAGACGTAGCTTGTAGTTACTGTTACCTAATATTTACCAATCACTTGAAAAATTAGTTGTAGTATCGCCTTTTACATAAAATCAGCGGAGTGTGTTTACACTTTTGCTCGCCACTGTAAATTCATGTTTTTGTATGGCACGTTACTTTGTCCTATCTCGATGATATCATTTAGCAGCAATATGATACAGGTATTAATGATCTTCTAATATGTTTGCGTTGTTTTTAGATGTTGTTTCAATTTCCTCTTTTAGAAAATTACATGTACTTCTTTTTATAATTAAATAACTGAATATTTTACTGCATCGTTAAATATTTTCTCTTTCAATTTATTTTTTCGTATTGTAAATTATTTTTTAAGTCCTTGAAGGAAGCAGGACTTTATACTTTGATACTCTTTGTATAATTTCATATCGTCTCTGATAGCCTAAGCGCTGTGTAAACTTCCCTTTCATGATTTGAAGTTGTTCACTTCTTAACATTGCGATGTAAAAGACGAGGAACATAATTTATGTATCTGTTAAGAAATTTAAATAAGAGTGCAAGGTATCCACTGCTCATTCTTATTCAAGCGTACCTGTTATTGAAAAAGGCGCAGTAGCAGTATTTTTCGCAGACTATTTACTTCATGCTTTTATACAACTTTGTATCATATAGCATTTGTACATTACGAGTCATCGATATTTGACTGCTCTTCAAGAAACGCTTTGACGGGAAGGACTCTGTTCTAGAATGAATGGTACAGTAAACAGAACGCTTCGAGGTCTGTAAATTGGGTTAACAATAGACTCTATTTTTTTGCCGAGTACACTCAAGCAAAAGTCAAAATGTATTTTGTCGAGAAACGGTCAAACGTAAAAGTCCTCTTACTAAACATCTTCAATATTTTCGTCACGTTTTATATAATATCTCTAGGCAAATATTATAACAAAGCATTTTCATTCACATAATATGTATCAATGTTGACATTTAGTTCACACTCGGAGTTTATTTATTATTTATTTTATCTGTGATACGCTCATCGCCACAGAAGAATTGGGTCGAGTAATTACGACGATTCGACGTGGTAGAAATTTTGATCGAGCAATTTAACATTAAGCGTTCTCGCGGTACTTATATCGCAGAAATTACTGTTTTGCATTGTACGCTTTAACCTTTCCGCTTTTGAAGGTTACGACGGTTATTCTTAAACTCGCGTTGCAAAGGCTATCTAGGGCGGACAATGTGGCGATTCGTGCAGAAAAATCACGCGACAATGCCTTATTGTTAGTCGATTTCAGATCGTACCTATCAAGGTCTCCTCCATCGTCAAAGAACCTTTTTTTTTTATATTGCCGATCGAAGCGTCTCAGTTTATTTTAGTTTATCGCCTTGTCGTATAGCGCTATGCGATTAAATCACGATTGCCAAGGCAAACTTCCGATAAATAGAGAATGTTATAAGAAAATGATTTCCTTTCCTTCCTATATGAATAAAGCAAAACAATAATATACTTTTATGGATCTTTTAATTTCATAATCGGCTCATTTTCTTTCATATCATTGATTTATTAATCCAATGAGATGCATTGATTTACGTACGATGAATCGTATTGAATACAATTTTTTGATACTTGGTAAATTACATAATGCATAAGATTTCACTTCGTAAGTGGTATGATCATGAAAAGTTCTCTAGATTAATTGAATTGTAGCTTGTATATATAATTTTCTTCGATTATTTAAAACTTTTATTTCATTCTTTTTCCTCCAAAGCGATTGCATTTACTTTCAGGATAAAGCATAACAAATAAATTTTTCACCTTAGTTAATTAGACACGCACTTTTTTTTAAATATCCTTCACATTCGCATCATTGAAAAGTTTTCACATAAATTTGTTCATCAGCAGAAAACACATGTAAGCGTTTCAAGAATTATCGCTTTTGGCGATATTTTTATACGCTTCGGAATTGTTTTTATGTTTTGTGTTTGTCACGTACAAGGGTAATTGGACGGCAACGTCAACGAAAACGCAATTATAGAATTATTAAGGTGTAATGTAATTTCGCTACCTTGAAACTCCGCGCTGCAAACAACGGTATTCAGCATTTACCGCGCGTTCACTATTCTCAAATATGTAACTTCATAAAACGCGAAATTTGCGGAAGAAAATCTTCCCAATTTTCTTTCATCTCGATCTGTCATATTTCGTTAATTAATTCATATTAATCTTCTGTAATAATTTTTTGTTTCGAACAATAATTGACATTTTTCAACGGAGATGCGCAAAGATACTTTCCAAAGATGTTCATACGTAATTTATATATGTTCTTATGTTTTTGTAGCTAATGACGTATTCACGTTAACATACAACGGCTCATGAAAATATTTGAAGATTTATCACAGGAAATTCTTATGCGCAACTATATATGTATATTATGTATATAATACAAAGCATTTTCAAATATAATTATCATTGTAATGGGAGAACTATGATGATTATAGTGGCAAAATTTGGAAATGTATGTAGAGGCTACAAGATATTTACTGAAAACACATATCTAGTAAAAAATTAATATATAGCATGAATAACCATTTTAAACATATAAATGTTAAGAAAAGTTCCGCCATTAATGGGTGAATATGGATATTGAGACTTATAATTTAAAACTCATATAAATACAACTTGTAATTTCCATTAATCGTAAAAATTTCTTTCAAAAATGACAAATGTGACACATGTAACATTTAACATGTAACAAATGTAACATGTTACACTAACTGTTTGCATCTAGAATATTGTGTTTGTTCATTTTATCCATGCCTCTTCGTCAATCCTCTTGAACTTTCAGAATCGATCATGATGCATCGTCCAGCTAAGTTTATTCTGCAATACTCCCGACTAGTCAACGCCAATAGACATCACGCCCACGTAACGGATTTATCAGCTGCTCTTCACGTTCCTCTTCACCTCTCTAAAACCAGGTCTCGAAATAAAAATGTAAGAAATAGTAGGAACGACTTTTTGCGAGCTGGAATTTTCTGTAAAGTCATGGCGCGGCGCTTTGTTGTAAGCAGAGATGCGAGTTACCCACAATAAAAGGACCAAGACGGAAAGGCCTTCACGTGGTACAACGCACCGCAAACACAAAGGACTCTCATGTCGCTAGAAGTTAAATCTAAAACCACGCTTAAATCCAATGGAAATGGATGTAATCGACAGTCTGTAATTTAACGTAATTGCATGATCAAATGGAAATCTAATGCAGTGCTATGTGTTGCGCCGCAACAAAATCATTCGTAGTTGAGAGATCGCGAATGCTATTGCTCGTTCGTCTCTTCCGAGTTCGAACTACGTTACCGTCCAACTGTTGCATAGCTACCCGCGTTCATTCGTCCCACTACAACACTACTACGTTTTATTCATTTTGCGCTACGATTCTTACGATGTCGAGATCTTCCGAATTTCTACAATCCTGTGAATTTATTTTTACATTGAATTATTTAAACAATTACAGTGTCGTGTTACTGTGAATGGTTCGATTACATACGGAAGAAAAGAAGTGTCTTATAGGCTTGATAGGTTGATATGTTATTTGTATGATACTGTAGTGAAGATTGACATTAAGACTATTATTGAAAAAGAAATATATAGAACTGGAGTAGAACTAGAGTACAAATTCCAGTTACTCGAACAAAAGATTAGTGTTTGATTAAATGAATCTCTGTTAATTAAGTTTTAAATAAACTTGAACTTGTTGCTATTGAACCTATTTGAATATCAACACCAATTGTATAAAGGAAAAGTCATAAATGTTTAGGAGGATCAGTTAATTAATCTGCAAATTCACATAAACGAAGTTTTATTATACAGAAAGTAGATTTAAAATTAAAATATATATAAAAATTAATACGACAAGAAGCTCTAGTTGTCATCGGCGATGTTTTATTGATATACAATTCGGGACATCTGCGTCTAGAATCCAGAGATACGGCCTCAGGTTATCAATAAGATCCTTGAGCCTTTCACAATTCAGACTCTTATATTGTCTCTCTTTTTTTAAACTCTATATGTGTAACTCTTTTTCCTGGAATAATATCCTATTCTTTCAACGGTGCAGCCAGCTTCATCAGATGCCTGAGGGTGTATATACCGTTACTGATGCAGCGTCGTGTAGACAATGACACTGTTTCGTTAACAGTAACGAGTCCCGGAACGTTCAACGAAGGTAACTGCAACTGATGATTAAACCTTCGAACTATGCCCGGAAAAATCCCGATTTATGCCCCGACGCAAATAAGGAGTTTGATTCGACTCCGATACACCTTTGATTCATTTCCTTCCCACAGATTTTCATCAGCGAGTTTATCGATTATTACGTCGTCCTTCGTGAAGGAACGCACATATGTTTAGTGTAAACTTTAGAATCACCTTGTGTTTGAATATCATTGTTGACTACCGCGAGTCGTGCAATCAGTGATCATTAGGGTAAATCAATAGTCGCGAGATGGAAGTAATAGAGAGTTGACAATTATGATCCAGTTGGATCCTCTTATATTGCAAGTAAATTACGGTGGATGCTCGAAGTTCACTAATCGTTGAAGATCCAAGTGTAAAACGGTTATATTCATGCACGTGGGTCCATATTGTGTCATCGTGCCGCGATTATACAGCTCGATGACGCTCACCAACACAACCGCGTCATTGTCTAACCCGTGTCTCCTAAGTCAGGGCCAATAAGTCTTACGCAAAGCTCGGTTTTCTAACGATTGACGAGTGAGCCAACCAATCGGACGTAGTGCTGTTTCATGTTTGTTCGAACATTTCGCAAATCAAGTCCATTATCCGCTTGTATCCACTCGAACATGTGCGACGTCTACCTATTCCGATCGAATTTTTGCTTCAACATTCGTGATTCGATATTAACTTTTTCACGTTCGTGCTTTTTATAATCGAATAATCTTTCAAAGATGAGAGAATATAAAAGAATCGGTGTTGATATGTAGAAATTCTCGTCTCTATTTGTGTGTTAAAATTTTTCTTTCCTGATTATAATTGGGTGTTAGTCCTGTTGCGTTCTTGTGGTGTCTTTTTTATAGTTAAAAGATTTCTTAAAATTAAGAAGATACAAGGAAATAATTTCTCACTTCAAATTTATATTAACATTTTTTTTAAATACGAAAGTTTTAAAGTGTTAAAAGTATTTTTACCTTTGACAATTCGACATCAATTTGTACATATTATAATCTAGAAAAAAGATGAAATTTTAATTATAATTAGCGACATTTTATTAATAAGCTGATTATCATGTTCGTATTTAACATTTTCTAATTTACTACGTCACAAACTATGAAAATTGTTCTGTTTAATGGAGTTAAAGTTTAATTAAAAGATATCAGCAAAACACAAATATATTTAACATCCTTATAGCACAAGTACATGAAGTATTGAATTAATAACGAATATCATTCGGGATTATTAATTTTCTTTAAAATCCGGAATCAAATAAGTTGCTTCAAAGAGTAATTAATTGGACCTCTTATACTTTATTTGTAAAATATATTGTTATTAAAGAATATTACTATTGTTCTTCAATGTAACGTTGATTTCACGAATTTTTACCTTGCAGCTATCTAAAAGACAATTGTGGTTTAGAATTTATAAATTTTCACAAGTTGAATTGCGTTCTATACCGCAAACCAGTTACAATTATAGGATTATAGAATTATCGAATTATATAGATAATTAGGAAATTAAACGATGTTCATCTGCATATATGCATATCTTCATATATAAAACGGGGTGATTGCGCAATAAACTGTCCTTCGATCGTTTACTGATCGGTATTCACGCAGCTACATCTCGTTATACTGCCGCGTAATTTTATCTTTTTTTAAACCGTAATCAACGTTAATAATGCAGAGATAAAAGTTAAGATATCTTTTAATTTTATATTGTGATTTATGTAGAGTATACATATTTTGCTGTGAATGCGTTTTTCATACAAGCTTATGCTACAATTATGTAAATTACACATAATTGATCGAAATTGAAGTTCCAGATATTAAAATATTCTGTATAATTATCAACGATCTCATAACTAGTCAAAACGTAACTATTTGACCTAGACCCATGTCATCCGGTGCATCTAGGTTTTGCGCAAACGGTTGTACGGAAAATGTTCCATTTTTGGTTTAGATGACTTTCTCAGTTGGCCATTGTTGGATTATCATTCATCGTTCGTCGGATTTGCAATGCTCATCAGTTCATTCATGTCAATTCAACTCGAAATTGCCGAAATTCGTAAATGCATTTGACTTTAAGATACAAGGAAATTAATATACTAAATAGCTGAAAAGAGTTTAAATAAATGATATCTATATGAAACAATGCAGATGCCATCAAGCACACGTCGATTATTCGTATTCAGGTATTTCACAAGGTATATTTTTCACAAGGTAAGGTATTTTACAAAATGGTTAAAAATCTTAGTTCTACTTACTTTTTATGAACTTACTTTTTGTAAACAAGAATTTAACCTCCGTTTCACCATTTTCCAATAATGATAATGAGAAATACTTAATATCGGTAATTTCGGCGTTCAAAATGCCATATATTATAATGTTGTAATATTATGATATATGATGTATATTATAATTATAATGAAGTTGTCGTTTTGTTCATTTCCCAATTGTTTGTTGATGTGCAGTGTGAAAGTACAGATAGCCAAGAAATTTCTTCCTAGGGGAAGAATCTTAGATATGCGTAAAGAACTATGACTTTCGAGTCTCAGCGTATTTTACTTTTGAAGAATACCGTCGCGATGTAAATACCATAAGCAAGAGCACTTCCATTTTGTTTTCCACTATCCAATTATATTATACTCGAGTAACGAAGCATTTCTTTATTACACGAGACATCGGACTCAGAAGTTGATCGCACCGCGATTTAAATTTTGCTGAAACTGCATTCACACCACGACTACGATTAATGAAATGTTATTGACACACATCGAGCGACACGTGAAATGTCGAAATTTTCAAGAATTTTCAGTGGATAAATATGGTATAAAAGGGAGAGCGTAGGTAGTGTCATTTAATCAAATGAATTCGCATTTGAATTTAGTGCGTTCGTGTGTTCTATTGGTGGGAAACGAAAAGGTGGAGAAAAATTGGAGAAGACGTCTGTAAACATGCGGGAATAGGAAATGCTAGTTACGTCGAAAAGAGTGACGTATGGAATGGCAAGATGCGGTGTGAAGCGGTGTAGCGGAGGAACATTTGTTCGGGAATCGGCTACATCGACTCCATTGCTAAGCGTAATCACGAACCAGTCTGGCTGAAAGGGATATAAGACTACGACTGCACAGCTTTGCGTTGTCAGACTGTAGAGGATATCGTTCGTGGTCAAACTAGAGGGAAAGAGAACCTTGGCATCGGTGTTCCTCAGTGGTGCGTGCTGAAAGACCGAAAATTGCCACTCCGATAACAGTTACCTCGGATACATCGCGTTTACAGTGTCCTAGTACGACTCCCTTTGCACACCCTACAGCCAACGACATCCAACTGTTGCTTTTGGTTTTTTCGACGTACTTTTCTCGAACAACGGCCGTTTCGTGACTTCTTCATTGTTTTGAACTGACTATTGGTAACGGGTCTTGCGTACAGGACACTCCTCAGCTATTAAGACGACACGAAGAAAAGCTAGTCACAGGTAGCTACATCGTGGTTCGTTCATCGGCAAGGTTCTCTCTTCTTCCGATACTTTGATAACCTCGCATCACGACACCAAGCATCTTCATCGTCATTCGACCGTACCTTTCCGCAACAGGTGAGAGTAATGTCTCTTTTTTATCCATCATTTCATTTTCGTTCTCTGCTTGCTGTCGCTTATTCGAGTAAACGCACTTTGACGCTCTGTTATTCCACAAGAATTCCGATAGACGGGCGTGTATAAACATAATTATGGAAAATAGTGATGCGTTTTGATTGTTTAAACATTTTTTTCGAAAGATTTATCGAGATTCGGTTTGTTCCTAGAGATTATACTTATGCAAAACGTGCTACATACATCGGATATCGCTCGTTTAAATATACCACATAAATTATATCAGTGCGCATTTGCGGTATGCTATGCGATGGCAGATTAGCGTAAAACAATAGTATTTAGATTTACAATTAATGACATGATCTATAGATAGTCCGTGGAAAATCGACAAAACTTTCTAAGATGTGGTCACACGAACCATGATAGGCGAGACAGTTTCTGCAGAATAACAGTTTCTAGAGTATAGTAGAATAATACATATGCGTATCTTCTCTTACCTTACAAAATTCCTGTTCTGCGAACTGCCTACAGATATGTTGAAATCTATGCAAACACGCCTTGAGAAGTGATTACATGCTTAAATGCTGTGCTCAATGCTCTTTTTCAATCGTGAATAATGAATTTTGCAATGACACAAACGTTCGTGCTAATGAACTAGAATCATCGAAGGATTGTTTTGAAATTATATTACAGATTGGGAAACACATCCAATTTTTAAATCGGATACTTTAAAGAGTAGGGAAAACGAGAGCAATTTCATTTAAATTCCTGCACATCTGATCGTTAAATATTGGTTCCCTTTCTAAAAAAGAAAAAAAGAGCCAAGAACGATAAATGACAAAGAAATTATTGATAAAAATAGCTATTCTTGTGTCGCTACAAGAATGGTCACGTCACTTAATCGAAAAATTATTCTGGACGTGTATCAACGTATGTTAACACAGATTGAGAATTGCGACTGTCAGCCTGTATATTTATCAATCGAACGTACATTTCGCAAACGTAAATTTGTCAAGTTATTTATAAACGTTAAAGAATGTACTAATAGTCAATCGATATCGTATTGCAACATTTATAGAACACATTGTTGATTGTATATTCACGTTTTGTTTATCAGTTTCTCATTGTTCTTAATTTTTTAATTAAGATTTTTAATTAAGATCAATTATGACGAGGAGACAGACCATGAATTGAAAGACATATTCTTTGATATTACAAGATATAAGAAGAGGCTATGATTAAAATGTGTAAAAATATACGAAGTAAGAGCCCCACTTGCAACAAAGATTTCTACAATTCTCTTTCCAAAGATGTGTATCTGATAATTATTGATTCGATAGGAAGCGAGTGGACAGTATTTATTCGCATCGTTACATCGTCATAAATTATCACTGCAAATATTATTACTGCAAAAAATATCAATTGCAAACAGAGATCGTGCAAATAGAGCGACATGTCGGAAATTCGAATTGAAAATGTTTGTTTCCTGCAAACAAACATAGATATTTGATTATCTTTTAATCTTATTGTGAGGATATCTACCTTCTGACTTCATGCACGACGGCAAGAACCTATGTTTTGTCTAAATTAAATTAAACCAGTTTCACAAAGGAAAAAATCATTATGATTAAATCTTCTTAAAATAGTTTATCAAAGTTGTCTTAGGTTTCAGCAAAGTGCTGTCTCGATTGAGTTAGAGTGGCTACAAAATTTTTTGCACATTATTGTATTTATTATTACAACATCTACACATTAATTAATTACATTTAAATATATTAAATTTCGTATCATTTAGTAGAACGTTCATATGACTATAAAATTTGCTACTATGTAAATGCAATATATAACCCGATAAGTATATAACTCTTCAGTTCACACTTGATCGAATTGATCAAGACTTACATCATTTGGTCATTTAGTCGCCACACAATTTCAAATATAAACAGCGGTTTAATGACATCCAACATCGTTTCATATGTCAATAACGAAGAAAACTATTGAAAAAATAGTCGAAGAAGAATTTCCTTCCGTGGATGAATCCTGTTTTATTATTATTTTTTCTTCTGACTCGAGTGCATTAATTTTCGAACGCACTGAAAACTGTATTTTGCGAATCGACAATATTGGTTGTTAAGGTCCTATTTGTATTTCCATATAAAGAGAGATACCGAGGTGACGAGGGCATAACGTCATCAAATTCTATTTGTAATCGATTTTCAAACTAAAAAATGATAAAAAAAATGTTATATATGATAAAAGAAATCTCAGTTAAAATAACTAGCAAATATTCAAACAGAATGTGCGTTAAATGTGCGTCTCTCTTGACGAATGAAATAGTCTTGATAAGACGACGACAGTATTATGCGTAAAAAGCTGTTCTGCTATAAGCTGTATGATATTTCGAGAGGTTAACAAGATGCATGTAGGTTGCATCGGGAACTATTTTAAAATGTCAATGACTGCGTTATCGAAACAGAAAACTGTGAAAACGCGAAGGGCAAGGTAATTAGGTACTTACAACTAGGTAGATAGGTAAATAAGTAGATACCCATTAAGTGTGGATACATTTCGCCGCTTTCCATTGATATCAGATATGTAACATAACAAATTATATATACGATGCAACAACGTAGCAAAGCCGTAAAAAAACTGTTTCCTGTTTTTGTCCATACTACATTTCTACAATAATCTACATATACATTGTTGGTAAAACTTGTTAATGGAGGAAAGGAATATTCATTTTTTCATTCAGACATATTACCTCGCGCAGCGCTTAAAGACTAATTAAGCCAACGACATCAGTCGTTTTTTCCCAACTAGACTATCAAATCGTTGAAATAACAACAAGCGTCAAAAGCCACTTAATTTATAATAATGATTGAATGTTGGTAAGTTTTGTGTTGGACTCCTTGATTAGGTAGGCAATATTGTAATTATATTTTTGTACTGTACTGCGTTGCACGCGTTCATTCGTGATGAACTCGGTCGTCCAACCGGTTTAATACGATTTTCCTCCTACGTCGTTGGCGCAAGGAACAACATAGTTTCTACACTTGCACTCGGAGGAACAATTTTATAGAATTCACTTGCCTTGAACGCTGACGCATGACTAGTTCTTTCTCCCACTATATAATTTTTGATCTATTTCTCATTTAATTAACGTCAAGCCTTGCAAAGATTTATGTCGATCGTCCGCGAGATTCTCAACTTACTGAATAACGTTCCAATCACGATCGTTTCATCATAACGCATCTCTAATGAAAACGTACAATTTTTTGCCGTTTTCCTAACAAAGAATAGTAAAATGACTGAATAATAATGAATGAATAATTTAAAGAGACATATTTACCATATTTCATCTAATGACAAGTGGTGCGATTGCAAAACAATCATTTTTCTCGAGGTTATGACATCATTGCATTCATTCATCTTTTAATCTTTCTAAAATATATCATGTATGCATATATCATGCTTGCATATTTTGATGAAAAACAGGCAGATCGGAAACAAAAAATTAAGTTCCCAGATATCACGAATGCAGAGTCATCGGCAGAAGTTCTGCTAAAAGAAAGGTTTACAAAAGGAAATAAAAAAATTTGTGAAAAGGTACTTGAAGCAGGAAAGTCCCAACACGTATATCTGAATTCAAGGGCATTGTGTTCCCCAATCCCCGAATCGGGGATTACTGAACCCATAGTTACCGATATGAAAAGATAACGAATGTGAACAAACAGGTTTTTGATGCTCCGTTGGTTGAAGTTGGGCAAAAGGGACACGAGATAAACAGCAATGCCCGTTGAAGATCCCGTTCACCTTGGTTCGCGACTAGTAAGTATTCACCAGCAAGGTTCCTGTCCCCTTCCAGCCTGCAGGTTGCAAGCTACACCTCACTTCTTTATTCTCAGAATATCTTCTATTCTTTCTTCTGTAATCACAGCCTAGAGCAATTTCTGTGTCTCTCGCTATGACAAGACACTTTTCAACCGCATTCAATTACGAATCTCGATCTTCCTTATACTTTCGATATTCTTATATCTTATGTCGTTATTCCATAAATTGTAATTATTTTCAGAGAAGCGGCTTTCTTTATTTCTAATTCGATCGAGATATATTAACAAGGTTAATCATGTGCTACCTTTTATCTCATTCATCGATTTAAGATCAAAGGCCAAAGATCACAGCGTAAACCTTTTATAAATGCACTAGTATGTAGCATTAAGGAAACACTGGAATTCAACTGGGTTTCGGAACTCAAAATGAAATGTCACGACCCTAAGTTACACTCAACGTAACAAAGTACGATACACCGCGATGCCTGATTAATGTTTAATGTAGACAAGAGCGCACATTTCTCCTCAGATCCAATGATTTTCAAATTCCAACGTTGACCAAATTTGCTTGGTCATATTCATCGACGAAAAAATATCAGCGCGACGTTGTACTTTGGTTGATTGCATTCCACTGATAGCAGTTCGGCACAAAGATTAGAACGAGATCATCCGATTCAATAGCACGCACGTCTTAGTCGTAGGCTCAGAGACGTGCTTCCTTCCATTATCTTTTCACTGTTTGATGCGAGTAAACGCAAGACGTTGCTCATTTACACATTTCCTTTGCTTAATATCCTCTTCATCTACTCAATCGCATCTACGTCTCGATACTCGAGCTGTGAGAAGTTCGAGAATCTACACGCGCAAGCAAACTATATGACCAAATGTTGCGTCATCTATGATTATTCTTATTATTATTAGCTTCCAACGAAGCTAAGAAGTATTCACTAGTAATTACTAGTATTTACTAAACATTCGTTGAAGAAAGACATTTAACGATCGCGTTGCAATGGGCGCCATGGACGACTAGACTTTGATTGCCAGACAGCGATATCGTTAAGCCAATTATGCACTAACAATACAAAATTCTCATAAATCACTTTCAGGTTTAGTATAAGCTACTTAAACTCTTCACAGTAATCCGCGTGATTTATCGTTTATTTTTCAACGCAAGGATAACCGGATAAATTGAAGGTATGTCGTTTTCTTTCAGATTTGTCCATTTACTAGCAATCAACAAAAAACAATGTCGACCATCGTAGATTGGTACAAAGACGTTATAAACAATAAATGTCGTAAGAAACATTTTTATAAGTAATACGTGAATACCTTTATAAGCGATTTGTGATTTATAATACGCCCCTTTAACAATTCCAGATCCATACACGCAGGATTGGTTTCTCGTGTCAGGACCAGGTCCTCTGGCGGTAATTCTCGTTACCTATGTGTATTTTTGCCTATCCGCTGGACCAAGGTACATGAAGGACAAGAAGCCGTACGAATTGAGGAAAACCATGATCGTGTACAACTTCGTTCAAGTGCTATTTAGTATATATCTCTTTTATGAAGGATTGATGGCTGGGTGGCTGCATGACTACAATTACTCTTGTCAGCCTGTTGACTATTCGGACAATCCAAAATCTATCAGGGTATTTTTCGTCATAATTCGCTAAACAAATGCCGAATAAACGACGGAATGTTGTATGTTAACGCTTGTGAAATTGTGACTTACAGATGGCTAAGATTGTGCACTTTTATTTCATGTGCAAGTTGACAGAGCTTTTGGACACAGTATTCTTTGTTCTTCGGAAGAAGAGTCGTCAGATCTCAACCCTTCACGTGTATCATCACACGCTAATGCCGGTTTGCGCTTGGATCGGAGTCAAGTTCCTGCCGAATGGCCATGGAACGTTCTTGGGCCTCGTCAACGCTTTCATTCACATAATCATGTACATGTACTACATGCTGTCTTCGATAGGGTCACACATGAACAAATATCTCTGGTGGAAAAAGTATATAACGATGCTCCAGTTGATTCAATTTGGCATGATTTTTATCCATACCATTCAACTATTTTTCAACGGATGCAATTATCCGAGGCCTATTGCGTTCCTGCTCTTGCTGAACGCGACGATCTTCATCTACATGTTCGGGTCGTTCTATGTCAAAAATTACCGTAAAAGACAACGAACACAGGTAAAAGATGAGCAAATAAATATGGCGGCGAAGAAAGTGGAGTGAATTGATATCGTTAACGCGGTTTTCTTTTCGCTTGTTGTACTCCTTTTCGTTACAAAGGAACATTTCACCTTCGTTAGGTACATAGAAGCGTACTAGCATAGAACGGTAAATTTAGTCGGTTTCAAATATTTATTGCTGATCGATTGATTTCGTATATTCGAAAACTAGAGACGATCTTCATCTCATCGATGACGATCTCATTTCTTTCCTTTACATTTTTTTGTTCAAAAATTTATTTTATGATCAAACATTGACCACGCGTAATATATATTTGTGTATGAAATATATATGTATATATTTATATATATATATACTATATATATATATGTATATATATATACTATAAATATGTATATATATATGTATATATATATGTATATATATATATACTATAAATATATATGTATATATATATATATATACTATATAATTATTATATTATTATCTAATTATATATATATATATATATAATTCTGAGTTGTCATACCTTTAGGTTGTTGCATCTTAAATTATCAATTATTTTTAAAATCCTTCTATTTAATTATAGTAGAGTTTGTAAGAAATATGTAAGAGTTCGTTTCTTTTCTTCTTTTTATTGAATTCGATATATTGTTTCTTGCCTAAAAGTGGAGTATTCTAGGTATGAAGAGAACATATGTAGTCATACCAAAGATAGATAAATCTCGCTCCAGCCGGAGAAGTAAGTAGATTGTGATTCAAAACACCAGACATCACGATTTTAAAAATCAAGTATCTCCAGCTTGTGCCTTATCATGAAAGGAATGTTCTGCATTGAAAAAATACGAAATCAGTTTCATATCGTAACGTTCGGTCGATAACGTTGATAATGAAGGAAACATGATCAGAGGGTTTATCAATCAATTCGGCTCTTTGATGAGCTCATCCGATTACACTGTTCGTCGATAAGATAGACCAATAATGTGCCTTTATCGAATCTTCCTTCGAATGGAAGTATTAATGTACTTTATTGTATTGAAAATTTATTGTATGGGAAATAATTGATACTTTTTCTAATCACTGTTTCCATAACAATTTGGTAACTATTTGGCACAACAACTTTTTATACGAATGTACATACCTACTTATAAGTGAAAATAGAATTTAGAACAGAAGCAAAGGTCAATTTATTTTGTTTATACCAGTGCAAATAAGTTATAAAAACGTCCAGCGTTAGAAATAAAGTGAATTATCTTAAATTACGTATAACGTTGTACATCTTTTCAACGTTTAAAAATTTTCTATTTAATATGAAAGTACATGTACAATAAAGTAATTACATTTTTAGATATATCCTCGAATATTTCTTTCCTTACGATTGAATTTCCTCGATTTCTTTTCTTCAATGATTTTGATATCCGTTAATACCAATTAAACCACGTTTGAAATAAACAAAAGACGTATTGAAGGCCAGCGGATCTTCGATTATACGCTGGTCAATGTCCTTTTGTCGTTAAGGGTCACGACCATCGGACCCACGGGACCTCTTCATCCGTTTCACTTCAACGTTACACACGTGTCAATGACGAATCGATTACTTGCAAGATCTGCTCAATTCTATAATTCTTCAATTAATTGTCTCTAATGCATACATGTCTATAATAATTCTAACAAATTCGTTTCCAAGTTCAATTAGTTACAACGAAGTAATATTTGCATATTAATTCCATACCTTCATTGGGCGTTTTTCATCTTCGATTTTAAAAAGCGCTTTGATCATCGAAAGTAACAATTCCAGTGCTTTAATACATAGAAGTACATTCACGAGAGTAGAGTGTAGTATTTGAAAAATAAGTTCGAAACAAAGAGCTCCACTTTCAGTCTGCTTGGTCACGCAAGGCCACGATTATCGATTCTTTATTCACTTAATTAGTAAATGAAATGGATTACGTATAAGAGATTTCCATAGGCGATGTTTTATCATAATTTTCAATAATCATCTTTATCGTCAATGTTCTAGACACGATTCTCGTTGAAAAATTTCATGCGAAATTATATTAGATAAACATCGAAAGCAGCATACAGTATACATAACGCGAATACTCTATCGGTTAAAGAAGTATTATACAGGTAGAAAAGTCTTTCGTAAAAGCAACTGACACAGAGATAAGTTTTTTTCTGTTACTCGCAAATAGCTTAATTTCTCAATTTCCTTTCAATACGTCAATCAAACAAACTAAAAATGTAAAAATAAATGAATTATCGAATGAATATTAATTATTTTTAAAATTTTAATTGATTAATTTAGCTTTAATTATTTCGTTGACGTCTAAACAGAAACTCGTTCCATTAAGGAAGAAAAACTCCAGAAACATTTGTATAATATTCAACTATGTCGTAGTATTGTTACAGCATAATTTCTCGTCTTACTAGATTTTTTATAACAGGCACCAATATTATAAAGTAGTTCGTTATGCAGTTAACAAATCTCCTTGTTGTATGAAAATGTCAGATGTTTGTTATAAGATTAAAGACATACGGGCTTTATTAATTTGTTTATAAAATTTCCACTTATAATCTTTCGTTTACGTATCGTAAATCTCCATTTTTATGATTCAATGATTGTAAAACGGAGTGACTGGTTGCAGTTATTGTAAATATAAAAAGAGAGGTTATTATTGCAAAATAATACAAAATTGCACAGCTGCGATCATTTTTGCATACCGCGTTCCGGAAGTCTGACACGATTGCAGCAATTTGATAATGTGCTTATATACCAGTCCCAACATTCTCCCGACAGAACAATTATGCATATTTGATTGCATTTCGTGCTAGCTATCAAATAAATGATCGAGCTTTTTTTGTTTTCGTAATGTCAAGGGAAAAAGTACATCTAAAAAAACATTAAACAATGACCTATTTTGAATATTTGTATTAACATTTTCAATTTTTATTCTTTTCTAATTGTCGTACGCCTAGTTTGAATAGAACAGTGAATAAGAATGAGAAGGTCGAAAGTCATTAAATGCGTGTGACAGAATGATATACAACGCCTTGAATTCGAGTTTCTTTGAAATACCCATAGAATCAGGGAATATTAAATTAAACCTTTCTACGATCTGATATCTTTTCGTAGGGACATGGAATAGAAAATTAAGCGCCTTCAGCTTGAAGGTCGTACACCCTCGAAGAAAGGGGACAAAAAATTGTCTCGAAACGGCGTTATGTGTTTTCAGGGGCTGGCTATTTGGTTTCGACTCCAGCGTTTAATTAAAATACAATGACTATACGATTCGATAATGTTTTTGACGGGGGAAATTGCTTTCATCAGTCTACTTGTATTTTGCGCGGGGTTTAGTCGGATTGGAAGACTCTGGGTAGTGACTTAAACAATCAATCGAAAGCCATTGTTAATAACTTTTTACCTTCGAAAAATTCAATACGTTTCACCTTTTAACATTTTTGTGTGTGTGTGTGTGTTTTCTTCCTTTCGTTTATTTTTATTTCTTGTTCCTTTCGTTTCACTGCGTTGCCAATGATTCACAAAACTCGATAGCAGGCATAGGAAAACTGGATGATTTAAAAGCTAACAAACGTTTAGGAAGTATCTGCTCAGAAAGAGGAATTAGGTTTGATTTTTTTATCAAGGTTAGTTGAACCAATTTTATCATTTCGGGATTTCACTTCGATCTTATGAAGTTTTTGTGAGAGACGTTAGTTGGAATCCCATCTATTATTTAGTGATAGCAATATGGCGACGTTGATACGACGAATCTATCAAGGGTACCGCTACATTAACGAGGAACTAACAGGTACTGGGACGTGAATCTGTTGCACGCAAGTCAAAGATGCAAGTAGTCATGTGAATGTTTTCTGTTTCCGGAAGATCCTCGCACGCAAGACTATTTCCTCATCGGATCACCATGGGGATGCTTTAGTATAGTAGCGTTTTATCTATACTTTGTGCACGTCCTGGGACCCAACATTATGGCAAAGAGAAAACCGTTTAATCTGAATAGAATCCTACAGATATATAACCTAATACAGATAGTATCGTGCGCATATATATTTTATAAGGTAAACGAGTATACATTTCTTTTAAATATGAAAATATAATAAGTGTCTAAATGTAATTATAGGCATTGGAACTAGCTTGGTTGTTCCATTATAACTTCTACTGTGAACCAGTAGATTATTCGGATGATCCTCGCGCGGTCGAGGTACCTACATCGTATATTTCCTTTATATCCTAATTACTAGACTGCGAAAGTTTATGCGAATTCATATTTTTATGAACATAAAAAAGTGTAAATATTGTAACAAGTACTTTCTATGTTTTATATATTCATTTTATGTTCACAGCGTTAAACTTTCTGTAAATGCATAAACCCCCAGTCTATTAATTACGATCTGTTCTCATCAGGATATCAAAGATTGAACTACTTGAATTACTTGAATCGCAGATAACTAAGATCGTTTGGGCGTACTTTCTAATGAAGCTCCTCGACTTACTGGACACGGCCTTCTTTATTCTTCGAAAAAAGCAACAGCAAGTGTCGTTTCTTCATGTTTATCATCACACGGGCATGGCTCTTGGTAGCTGGGCAGCTACCAAGTTTTTGCCCGGCGGTCACATTACCTTTTTAGGTAAGTAATATAATTTCACTCGTTCAGTTTTAACTTCCTACAATATCATATATTAAAGAATATTTTTCATATCGGTCTTTCTATCGTAGAAATCTTCTATCGTTGGCACATGTGTTGGGTATTAATTATCATGAAATTGTTTCCATAATTTTGTGATTTTTAGTTCACGACCAACGTTCTTTAGTTCAACGACGACATATATTGTATTGACAATTAGATATTGAATAGTGTATTTACCTTTGTCGTTTTACGTTTAAGGGAATCATTCGTGACAATGTGTCTCTACATAAAGTGATAACGTTTGTAAGTGTATATTTATATTTATTTATTAAATAAATAAATTTATTGTCACAGGTACTTTAAATTCTTTCGTTCATATGGTGATGTACACTCAC